GGCATTGTTGTAACCATCTATAGTAGTTGTTAAATGAACCCGTTAGTTGATTTATAATGATTTACATTATATTTCAGAAGGGTTGTCCAGTGAATATTCAGTTTTGCATGCTAATTGTTCCCACAGTGAACCTTTGAGGATTTATAATGGGAAGGGATGGAACAGTGTTGGGTATACAGTTGGTGCTCAGTACATAGTGTGGGTTCATTATATCTCTCCTTGGTGGTAGAATTATTTCCTGCGATGCGGATTCATTCCAGGGGGAAGAGCATATGTGGTGGCCCAGGAGGGGGCTTGGCCTCTGGGCCAATCTTACTGCCTATATTTGTAAATAAAGTTTTTTGGGAGCAGATCGCTGCCCATCCATTTACATATTGCCTATGGCTATTTTCTTACTGAAATGGCCCCGAGCTGAGTAGTTGCAACCGAGAGCTTATGGCCAACAAAGCCTGAAATATTTACTACCTGGCCCTTTACAGAGACCATTTACTGACCCCTGTTCTAGATTCTAATGCTGTGCGAACCAATAATGTAGCCACTAGCCACATGGAGCAATTGAGTGTTTGAAATGTGACGGGTGTAAATTGAGATGTGTTACATGTGTAAAACACATGGCAGATTTGAAAGACTTCACAAGCAGCAAGAAGGCAAAAGAATGTGAAAGAGCTCATCAGTTTTTAAATGTTGATCCCATGTGGAAATGACAGTATTTTGGATATTGAGTTAGGTAAAATATATTATTGAAATTAATTTTGTCTGTTTTTTTAAACTTAAAAAAAAAGCATGACTGTTAGAACATTGAAAATGTGACTCATGTTGAGGCTCACATTTAGATTTCTAGTGACAGTGCTTCTTTAGAGCCTGAAATTTAAAGGATCTGTGACCTCTTGAAAAAGAGAGAGGGAAGATGGGGGAAGAGAAAACTCTCCCTGTATTAACAAATATCTCTCAAAAGCAATAAAGTCTTCATTAATTTGAGCATGCCTCATAAGAAGGGGAGTATTCAACAGTAATGGGTCAGGATGTCTGCGGAGAAGGTTTTAGCTGAGTTCTCCCAGAAGAACCTCACTCAGAACCGGAATCGGGAAGCTACCAGGAAGCATTTGTGAGGGAAAGGAGAGCGGGAGAGAGGGGAGAAGGGAGAAGAAAGGGGCCTCGGGGGCCCTAACTCAGCATGGCCACTGGGGCTCCTCCCTGTGGGGCCTTGGGCGCTCTGAGGAGGCACTGGGAGTGCCCCCCCCCACCCCCGGAGGGAGGAAGCCGGGCTGTCCATCATCCACTGCCAGTAGGTGCAGCTTTGAGGGCTGCTCCTGGGGCACCCCCCGCCCCGGGGCTGTAGCAAAGAGCTGTCAGCACACTCCAGCCCAGTGGCCACCCCAGACATGGGGTCGGGCCCCTGTCGTTCGGGCTACTTACGTCAAACTGAATGTTGTGTCCTGCAATTCGTATTTCAACAAACATTTGAGTAGTCCTGGTGTGTGTGTTCATTTCTCCTCTGATCTTAACAATAACACAGTTAGGGAGACTTATCATTATCCACACATTATAGACCGAGGAAGAATGAGCCTGAGAGTCATTTGTCCAGGACAGCTCAGCTGGAACGGAGGCCCCAGGCTCCTCGCTTCCCACGTGTGGCCACTCCTGCCTGACTCCTTGGATTCCTACCACACTCAGCTCCATACGGAGATGTAAATATATTGACAGTCTTGAGTTGAGAACAGGAAACTGAAACGGTTCTTTTGTCCTCTGTAGAATTCCATAGATATCCATAGGGAAGTAGATATTTATATCCACTTGGCCCCAAAACTCTTAACACCAAAAAATACTCTCTCCTTTGCACAAAGCACAGTTAAATCAAGAGGTAATAGGACCTGCTGACCACCACACAGGATGTTAGTGATCCAGTTAAATTCTAGAAAACTCCATAGAAGTCCCTGTAGTGGAAGCTTACGGATGCCAGGCACACCGAGGACTGGATTTTGTTACCTCCGCATTTCTTGGGCTGTCTTCAAAAGTGTTGTCAGGCCCTTTGGAACCTCCTGGAAGCAAGTCTCTCTCCCAGCCTCATTTCCCTCTATTATGCTTGGAAGTGACTCGGTCACTCTTTGCAGACTTAGTAATACTTGTGCTATTTAAATGTGAACAACCCCAAAGGATAGGTCAGTGTGTTTAAGCCACAGGCTTTAGTGTGCATATTAGTTGATCAAAAACAGATTTTATACATGGTCTGTACTTAGCAAAGGGAGGGGAAAGCAAGCCGATGTTTGTAAGATCTTAAACGTGTTAGATCCTATTTATTTGGCTCTCTTGGTGACTAGCTTTTAGAAAAGTCATACCTATGACAGTTGAATTGTAAACAGTTACATGATGTGTTTTCCTAGAAATTTCCTGCTCTGAAGGGTCAGCCAAAAAGGAAAATGAAAGGATTCCCTACGATTAACATACCAAAACAAGCTCACAAACATGCCATAAAGTGGGCACGTCTAAAGCAGGGGTAGCAAATAGTGCGATGTCTCAAAATATACTCCAGTCTCTGGCCATAAAGTGATTAGTCATGGCGATTCATTTTCTCTAAGCAGTACAAAAGCTTTAGACTTTTGTTGTTGGTAAGAGCTTTGAAAGCAACTTTTTCTTTGTTGCAAACATAAGATCATTAAGTCGCACCTAATTCCCTCCGTCTGGTTTACTCTCCAACTGCTGTTGTGTACCGTCCTCTAAGTGAGAAAGTCATTTTTCTCCTTCAGAATATTTATATTTGAGATGCTTTGAGTGTTTTAAAGCCAAAAATGAAGATTTCTTCTTGGTTTTGCTGCCCAGATGAAATATGCACAGAACCTCTTTCTGCATTCTGAACACGTGAGACTTGTAGATAAAATTTTTGTAAATGGATTTTAATAGATAATAAGCAAGCTTACACATAAGTGGGAAGTCTCCAAGGACTAGAGATGAAAGGCAATGCAGAATGGTGAGAGGAGGCTGAAGCTGGCTGGGCTGCTCTTGAGAGGTAGAGACGACCTGGGGGCAAGGGACAAAGTGTAGCCCGCACAGGGCAGCCTGGAATTGGAGCCAGCCAGAATCTCCATGGAGGGCAGCAGAAGCACCGAGCCACACCAGGATCTTTGCCTCCCTGGCAGGCCCATGGGCATGGTGTGGGAGTGCCCTCTCTGGGGAAGCAATCTCAAGTCCTAACAGCAGAGTGGGCCCCTCACCTGGCTGGGCCACGGCAATCCCCCGCTCACAGCATGGGACAAAGCTCAGGTCACGTCACCTGTCAGAGAAAGATCACAGACACAAGGTAAAATCTGGTTCTTGAGGAACATTACACAAACACGGGAAAATATGGAACTGCCTTTTCTCAAAAGAGCTTAAGTATGTTTAGTTCTTTTAAAATTATGAAGGAGGGAATTGCATCCTAGGCACAGGAACAGAAAGTAACTCAAGAAGAAGAGACAGATGTGATAACCTTCTGGAAATGGAAAATGCATTCATTGAATTAAAAACAAAAATTAAACAATAGGACAAACACCAGACTAATAAGCGTAACTTTAAGAATGACCAAAGGAATTTCTGCTTCTGACTTACGCATTTTAGGCATTAAATAAAAGTGATTCTTTTCCTGAATATACCTTTCTAAATCTAAAATTTAGAAAAGTAGAAGGAGCACACCTTTGCAGAAATAAATCTCACAGCATAGTGAACTGTTAATCAGCTTTATGAAATTGTAAATTTTCAAAATCCCCCTCATACCCTTTCAAATCCTTTTTCTCAGATGGCATTACGAATCCAAGATATATTTCCTTTTCCATGGAAGTTCCTTTCAGTCCCAACCTACACTGTGTTTGTGGAGTTGTCTATATGTTAAAACACACAGTTGCCCCAATCCTTTACTGTCACACCTCCCTGGTCTTGGTATGCGACACTGTCCTAGTTGCTGCCCATACAGTACACTTCCCATGCTCACCTCCACCTCCATTCCGTCTTCCCAAGGAATTTTCACTCTTGTTCACCCAAAACTCACTGCCCACCCTTCCAGCCTCAGTGAAAAGACTCTGTCTTCTCCGAAACCTTCTCCAGGCACCCCCAACCCCCTTCTTTCAGGTACAGCATCCCTCTCCCAGTTGCATAGCCATCTGTTTGTGCGCAAGGAGGAGATGCTTGTACTCTTGTTTCCCCAGACTTCTCTCAGAGTTTGGCCTATAGCAGATGCTCAGTAAATATGTGTATGAATGGATAAGTGAATCAATGAATAGTGTAAGTGAAGAGTGTCCAGAATGAGAAGCAGTGGGGAGCACCTGAGTCTTACCCAGCACAGAGGGCAAACTGTGGCTGAAAATAAGATTTAACAGGCATGGCAGGGAAGGTTAAATTTGATGTTCACAAGGAATAGGGAGCAATTCTAGATTCTTAAGCAGAAGAATGGTAGGAAAAATGATCTGGCATTGACAGGTTGATAGGCAGAGAATAGAAGCATGTACAGTGAAATGTACTATGAGTGAGTAAACGTGTATGGGGAGGACATCTTATAAATGCCTATAAATAGCCATAATGCCAGTAAGAGCTGTGCAATGCAAGCCTTCCTCCAAGGGATTGACCTCAGCCTGCCTGTGAGACAATAAATTCTAAAAATTCAATAGTAGTTGATTAGATGTGGGAATATGGCTTTATATTATTGCCACACCATTTCTCATTCAGGTAAGACAATGGGAATCCCATTATCTCCTTTCCCCCTCGTTCATGCCCTAGAAGTAACCTATAACCAATTAGTCAGTAAAATATGCCTGAGTTAGTGCAGGAAGCAGGAACAGTTGAAATTTGAACGTTTTTAAAAGATTCCTTTAAATGTGACTTTTCAAAATCCAGTTTAAATCTATAAATACTTGAAACTGCATAGGTTTCATTGAGGTTTCTAAAAATGTATCCGTTGTTTTTCCTGAGTACAAGTGATTTTGTATAAAGTATTAAAAGTATGCAGAATAATATTTTTCTTCTTTTTTGAACAGCAAAACTTAGAGAGTAACCTCACCAACCTTATTAAGAGGAACACCGAACTGGAGACTCTTTTGGCTAAACTTATCCAAACCTGTCAACATGTGGAGGTGAGTATCTATGTGTGCTGTGCTTATATGAAAACGGCTCAATCACGATTTTTATATGCTCACCCTTTATGTATCTTAAAACAGGAATCTTCTTAAAATTAGATCTTTTGCAGAAGCCAAATATTCAAGATGGATGAAATTGGAAGGAACTAGAACCTCAAATACCGTCTCCCCACCCACTGCCTTGTCATGCCCTCACTCCCATCATGGCTGTCCCTGACCCAGCTTTCTTAGCATCCCTCATATGGCAGATTTCAGTCATCCATACAAAGAGCAGCCAACAAAAGCACTATTTAGAAGGTGTTGTATTAGTCTTCTAGGGCTGCTGTAACAAATCACCATGAACTTGGATGGCATAAAACAACCAAAATTTATTCTCCGGCAGTTCTGGAGGCCAGAAACCTGAAATCCAGGTGTGAATAGGGCCATGCTCCCGCCAAAGGCGCTAGGAGAGGATCCCTCCATGCCTCTTGGAACCTTCTGGTGGTTCCAGGCAGCTCGTGGAGCTCCTTGGCTTAGAGCAGCAGCACCGTGGCCTCCTCCCTGGGGGTGTCTGTGTCTGTCCAGATCTCCTCCTTATAGGGACACCAATCATTGGGTTAGGGGCCGCCCTACTTCAGTATGAACTCACTTTAACTTGATTACATCAGCTAAGACCCTGTTTCCAAACAAAGTCATATTCCCAGACAGCAGTGGTTAGGACTTGGATGTATATTCTGGGGGCGATGCAGTGCAGCCCACCACAGCTGGGTATTAAATGCATCTTGGTTGTCAGATATGTTCCCATGAAACTGACCAGCTATTGGGATCACATCAAGAGTGTGCAGGCCTCAATGACAGCAAGGGTAGGTTGGGGGACCCAGATCTTTCTAACCCTCTGCTTAGAGTAGATTCGCTTTTGGCCATGATCTCCAGGGAATGTTTTGAGCCTTGTTGATTAAACAGCCTTGTAAATAATAGTGAACAAGCATAATGGTTTCTTTATTGTAGGGTAAAGTGAATGTGTATTGTAAGAGTAAACAGATGAACACAGTGAAATGATCCATGTGCTGTATTTTATTTTTATGATGTGGTGGCATTTGATGTTTAGGACAATAAGAAAGAATTCTTTCTCTTCAGTAAAAAAAAAAAATTACCTGTGTTTTATGGGGAAATCTTACAAATGCTTTATGGATTGGGTGATTATTTCATTCAATTTCAACTAGTTACTTCTTAAAGCATTAGTGTCTGGTTTCCATTACGGCCTTCATGATTTCAGAATAACTGTCTTGTACCTAATGCAATGTTAGTATGACTTGAACTTACAAAATGCTATTTGTCCTAACATGTAAAATTATATTCTATAATGTTCGGTGATTTCATGTGCTACATAGATGTGTCATTCAAGAAAGACACATGGATTTACAAGTAGACTTTATTTTTAAAAATTAGGTATTTAGTTGAGATAATAGGCTCTTTAAATAAAGCTATTACTGAATTGATTGTAACAGACTTGCAAATGGACACAGACATACCTTGTGGAAGTTACTCAGCAAGGAGTAAGGAATATTCATTCCTTTCACTGTTGTTTCTCTACAAATCCTTTGGAATGGAAAGAAATGTTTGTGAGTAAATTTGGCATTTGGGAAATTTATTCTAGACAAAAATTAAAGAAAATCAATTGAGTAGAAAAATAATACAAGCAGTACCTATTTCTCTATGTGTTATTACTAATATTCTCAAAGCATAATTTTGTGTATGTATAGGGAAAAAATAGTATACGTAGCATTCAGTACTGTCCATGTTTTCAGGTATCCACCGGGGGTGTTGGAACATGCACCTCATGCATTAGGGGGGACTGCTGTACTTTGGAATTTCAGTGAATCGGAATTTCTTCCAGCTGGGGTCTAGGGGAACCTGCCTTCAGGAGTGGGTAACACTGGGCATATGGAGATATGGGAAAGGCACTGCTTGTGGGGCAAACCGAGGTATGGGGATGGTAAAATGAAGGGTGTATGTATGCAAAGCAAGTAGTTAATTCTGTAGAAATGGAAGGTGTGCGAGGGTGGTTAAGTAACAAGCAGCTTTGGAGAAATGAGAGCTGGGTGGACTTTTGATACTGCATCTGAATCTCAACTTTATTTTGTCTTGGAGGTTTAGCAAGGGTTCGAGGAGCACAAAGACCTGGGTAATTTTCACAGGACAGTTGGCATCCCTAACTCATTTCAACAAATATTTTTGGTTATTGGAAAAATAATATGGATATCTTAGTGCAGAACGATTGCAAGTCCAGGAGCAAACACCACAGCACTAGTAAACTCCAAAAAGGTAGCAGAATTTGTTATGCACCAGTGTGAAAGTCCTTTAAATCAGTGCAGAGAAAAAGAATTTCCTGGTTCACATCCTAGGTTCCTAGACTATTTTTTCCTTTTCCTCTTCCTGAAGGTGTCCTTGCATTTGGGCATGAGCATGCCTGGGGAAAATAATCCAGTGCCAGCTGCAGCTAAAAAGCTCAAAGCACAGAGGCAGCTCTCAATTGTTGTAAATGAAATCAATGAATTCCCACCAATCCTGAGGAAATGTCACATCCGTCTCAGTCCACACCTCCTTCCTGGGATTCACTTCTGCTTTTCTTGCGAATGAAAAGGGTTTGAAGGTCCCCCCTATCCCCATTGTTTCATAACTTGTTTTTAGAACAAGGGTAAGCAAATGAAATGGCTTTCTGAGAGTAAGTCCGGAATGTTTTCAGTAGAGGACAGAGGGGGTGTAGGCCACGGCAGCTTAGGGCTCAGGAGGTGGACTCATTGGAAGAGCAGATGAGGTTGACTCCCAGAAGACGTTTGTGTGATCTGCTGGTGGGATTCTAAAAACGGCTGGCTTTATAGCCGCTGGCTTTGTTTTCCTCAGGAGAGGAATACAAAAGATTCCCTTGGGATGGGTTTAGAGTAGTTATATCTGAGGTGTGGGACATGCCCAGGAGAAGTGAGCAAAACTGGGGCTAGCTCAGAACTTAATGTCTCCAGGTCACAGATGGACAATCGCTCCTCATCACCTCGTCCTTCTCTCTCTTTTCTTTTCCAAACCAGGGGGCCTCATTTATTAGCTAAGCAAATCCTTATAATTGCTGACGTATATCAAGTTCCCCACACGTTCTGAGAATCAGGTTCTTTCATAAGGAACATAACACCTGGACACAGTAGGTTTGGGAAATAACAGTTGATCAGTCACTAAATCCACGGTTGAGATGGTAAAGGAAAACTGCAAACCATAGCAGTGTGGAGAAGGCAGAGGCTCAGCTCACCTCACCGCCCTTGCCCAGGCTTCTCCCAGAAGGCCATTCTCGGGGCCAGCATCCCATCAGAGTCCTGCAGTTTGCCCCCCTGGCTTACCTTGCCTTCTTTGTACTTCATTCTTAAAAAATTCCTTTTGCCATTGTTTCTCACACTTAGTTTTTAATCAATTCTTTCTCTTTTAATGTGAAGTTTGCTCTCTTACTGGCTTCCTGAGTTTTTCCAGTGCTGGGTGACATGTGGAGTGACAAGCTGGTTGTGGGTAAATTAAGTGCCATTTAATTCAATTTTTGCTGGGCTCTGTAAACTGAGACAGAAGAGGGTGATGCGTTGCAGTAGCTTGTAAGAAATGGTAAAAATTAATTTGAGAAAACAGATGGGGCTCTATAAAAGACTTGTTCAGTCATTCACAAAGCCCTAAAAGCATTCTGTTGTAAACTTTGAAATAAGGGAAAAAATTGCTAATTTACAAAGAAAGATGAAACTTTATGTCTAAATTAATGTTGTTCTGCAGTCTTATGTCAAAGCATTCTCTCTATGGAAACCTTGGCAGTTGCTTCATCTAGAGCCGTCGGGTAAAGACCAGCCCCCAAACACCGTACCTGCTGTTTGTGTCTTGTGGACAGTGTCTGGTCTTGGATCCCATGTATCCTGCTTAGGGGCTGGTTTGATTGTCCGAAGTCATGATCCATTGTCACTTGCAGACAAGGGTTAGATTCCCACCCCATCTGAGCCCTCATGAGAATGCTCTCAGGGTATAATTAGAGTCAGAATCTGGGCCTCATTAAACCACATCAGGCAACCCACAGTCATCCGTGGCTCTGTGTGTGAACAGCTCTGGAATGATGATTATGTGATAGTGCAAACATGGTGGCATTCAGAAACTGGATTATGACAAGCCACTGTGGCAAAGGCCCATCTCCCAAGTTCAGGCCCTTAAGATTCCCAGGACAAAGGAGAAAAGGAACTCTCCACAGAGCTTCATGTTCTCTGGAGAAGAGTCAGTTTTTGACTACTGCATGTGTTCACTGGCTGGGTATCTACTTCACCAAGTTTGCTAAAATTCACAGCTCATGAAGCAAACAGCTTTTCTCAATGGAGATTAAATTTAACTGTTCAGTAAAGTAGTATGTAACACATACTTGAATGTCTCCCCATAGATTCTATGCTCTTGCCTTAAAAAAAAGCTGATTCATAAAGGGCACTGGATCCTATTACCTTCTTAGGTATACTCATGAGGAATAGTGAGACGACATCAGTAGAAAGTCTTGCAGTCTTCTCTTATTTTGGAATAAGAGGTTAATCTTATGAATGAATTAATGAATATAAGGCTTACTTAGTTTGGTATTACTTTCAGAATGACCTTGCCAAGTTTCAGCTTTGAAACTTTTTTAAAAACATGATCCAAACCCTTCAGCATCTGCCGATCTTCCCAGTTTGAATGGGATGAACTGTTGTGTCGTATTCAGAATCCTGCCAGGTGGCTTGCGTTGGGGTATGACCACACTACGTGCCTCTGAAGACAATCCCTCTGACATGTTTGAATGAATACTGCAGATTTCCATGGCTAATACTTAGATGTGAAATAATTGGCCTTAATTAGGGGACCAATAGTTGAGCAGTAGGAGTGAAGAGAGAGGACATGGTTTTACTGATGTATCTCAATGTGGCTTCTCCCTATAACACAGGAATTCTTTATCATGTCTCCCTTACACTCTTCCACACACAACC